GTAAAATAAAATAAAATAAAATAATATATATATATATATATATATATATATATATATATATATGCACCTGGTTTAACTTCAAACTCTTCAAACATAAAGTGTACCCTCAGTTCTAATGGGAAAAAAGGGTAGCTGAAAAGGAGCTAAATGGCCATGCTGAAAGTTAGATCTATTCATCAATTTTCTATTGTTTATATCTTTAAAAGTTGTCCATCCTTTTCAATCTTGTTAGTCATATTTCCCATTTTCCTTGAATTACAATCCATTGTTCTGTAGGGAGTAACACAGAAGTCCAGGCAGATACCTATTCTCCTTTTCCTGTATCTTCCTGTCAAAGAATGCCTTACTCATAAGTCCCTCCCACTAGCCCAGAAAATTGGAGTATTAGTAGCCACGGGGTTTGTCCAATTCCCATTTATTGTGAAGAGAAAAAAAATTATCATAAGTTGGACAATTTATTAAACAAGGTATGTCTTCATGTACATAGTCAAAAACTAGAAAAGAAAAAAATCTGAGTTTTAGAATGACCACTATAACTAGCTAGCTAACAGAGCCATAAAACATGTTTCATAATTAACCTGGGCTCCCACTCTCTCTTACACAAAATTAAAAAAATAGCCTACCCTTCGGGATTTTTTGAAAAATATCTGAAGATGTAAATGATGACGATATCTGGGATATCAGGGCACATTAAAGTGTGATGAATATGCTAATGAAGAACTATCACTGTAAATTCCCAATGTCAAGGGGACAGTCTCTTGTATGCACGCAACCAGTATGATGTAAAAACTATTAAGTTTTGAAATTTACAAACATAACAATGGCATCTAATTCTAGATGCATCATGTGAAGACATGCCTGCCTGATCTGAAGCACCTGAATGAAAAAGAAAATGTGTTTGAGTTGTGCTTGCAAGTTTTCATAATGATAAACAGTATCAACAAAGCCTGAACAGTTAATTAGGATACAAGGACAGCTCTAACCTCAGCTATGGAGGAACTAAAAATAAACTGGAACATTTGTAATATAAAATGTGTGTGTGTGTGTGTGTGTGTGTGTGTGTGTGTGTGTGTGTGTGTGTAAGGGTATTGCATATAATAAAGCCCTAAATATGGGGTTGGGAAATGTGCACAGGGTGAAATGGAGCTGGCAATCTGGAATAACACTAAAATAAAATAAATAAAACAGAATGGGAACCTCATACAGATGGATGAAGTAAGCATGCCATAAACTGAGGAACAGGTGTAACTATATTTTCTGTATTCAGGGTCCGCCTTTAAAAAAAATGTATCAACACATACACACCTAACCTCACAAACCCGTGAAAAAAACAGACACATTTTACTCATGCAAGGAACATGAGGGGCCTACCTCAGAAACTATTTATTCTTCACAGGAAGAGACAAGAAAAGGAGTTATTTCTTTTCTTATAGTTTTAAACAAAGGTAAGGGATTAGAATTTAAGAGAGTAAAAGGTTAGTACTTGCCATCAGGCCACATAAAACCATCAAACACAATAGCTGCCAGAGATAAAAACAAAAACAAAACCACTGTGAAAGAGGGGGTACCCAAGATCGTGGACCTGGCGATATCGTAAAGTGCTTGCAGCATAAGCATGAGTTCAGTGTGCCTGGACCCATGTTTGGGGATGGAGGGAGGCAAAGGAGGCCGGGCTCAGCAGCACACACCAATAATGTCAACACTGAGGAAGAAGAGACAAGATGGCTGGCGATCCTCGGGGCTTGCTGGCCATCTAGCCCCAAATTGGTGAGTTCCTAGTCGAGAGACCCTGCCTCAAAAAATAAGATGGAGCGCTTTGCTATCTTGCAAGATGGTGGGTAAAAATGGTAACGGGCCTGACACAAATGAGAAGAAATCTGCAGCCAGGAAGGCTGAGGCCTTCCTAAAAGGGTCACCCCAGGGCTAAGAAGCCAAAAGGGAAGGCCCACAGCAGCCAAAAGCCCGACCTGGTTAGAGGAACTGGAAACACTCCCAATCTGTCGTGAACCCAGAAGGAATATGTATTCAGCTGCTAAATCAAAGGTTGAAAGGAAACAAAACTTTAAAGAGGTGAGAGGATCTTGCCACTGTCACAAACCCAGTTGGTGGTGACAAGAACAGAGGTTAAGCTTTGCAAGACACCTAAGGTGTCATCTGCAAAAGTCACACCAGGGAAGGGGCAAACCCAGGGGAAGAAGGTCTTCCATCATCATGGGAAAAGCTGCACACCACACCATGCCCAGGCCTGACCAGCCTTTCACAGGGCAAGAGAGTCTTCCTGAAACATCCTGGGCTTTGCTGCCTGTGGCTGGACCTATTTCCCTCAATCTCCTCTGCACAAAACACACCAGAAAGCAGCCACTGCCACCTCCACAAAAACTGCCATCAGTGATGTTAAGATCCCCCAAAGACCTCGCTGATGCCTGCTTCAAGAAAAATAAGCTGGGTAAGTGCAGGTGCCAGGACACAGCTCTTTGACAGAGAACAGGGGAAATACAAGTTTACTACGCAGGGCAAGGTTGATCAGAAAACGGTCTGCAAAAGGTCAGGCTATTCCTCACCTCAGGGCTGTGTGCAGTCCTTTGGGGCTCTAACAAATGGAATTTATCCTCACAAACTGGTGGTCTAAATTTCTACCAAAAACCTAATTGAGGAACTGATATAAATCTATATCTATATATCTATCTATATATATGAAAGTAGAAAGCAATTTAAGAAGGCAGCTGACATCGGTCTCTACATCCACCCAAGTGCGCGCGCACACACACACACACACACACACACACACACACACACACACACACACACACACAGCATGCCTTGATCCTGGCCAATGATCTATATAGGAGCTATATAGAAAAAAATAACCCTCAGAAGCATACTCAAGATTGCAGAAATGTAAGGATCTTTACTGTGACAGAAAAAACAAAGCTGATTATGAGTCCATTACTTCAGGCTGCCTGATTAAATGAATTACCTGGTAAATTTTATTTAACAGTATAACATAATCTCTCTAAAGGGAAGTTTGTGTCTTTTAAAACACCCAAGGCCTAAACCTTCATGGATACACACATTTAGCCCTAACAGGATTTTTTTCCCCAGAAGTTCTTCCCAGCTTTGGTACATATGGATGTATTATATCATGCTTACAAAACATCTGGAAAATTAACTGAAAATTTCAATTCCATCTGGCTGCTTGCAATTTCAAAATACAGCCATAGACACAAATCTCAACTACCTAAAGCTTTGCTTTAAAAAAAAAAATCAAGTGGTACAATCAATCCCAGAATTTTAACTGAAGCTTAATAGCCACATCTCACACAGACAGCAGAATAATGTTCTGAACAGCTTTTCTAACAACAACAATTCCCTTTGCTTAGAGCAGATGGTAATTCATACCTGGAGTTTTTTTGCATATTGGTTGAACATAAACATCACACATTCATTGATGGCACCTGTTCTCTGAAGAAGTAGCAATCCTTTGGGAGTGGCAGCAAAATTGAGTAAATCATCTAGCAAATTGTCTTCCCAAGCCACACTGGAACAGAGAAAGGACAGGGAAAGGGACATTCAATATCCTCAAAACTGGAAATAGTAAAGATTGGCATGGACAAGTATCGAAATGATAGAGGATACACTGGCTACAGGTTGTTCAGTAGATATTACAAAACAATATGGAATCAGTGAGTGTTTTTCTCAATTCCGCTCTGATGGCTCCTCATCACTCAGTGAGTAGAGTATTCATTTCAGGTGCAGCACTCTGACTAAGCCTTGATTTTTTCATCCATGCCATAATTTCCCATGATAATTCCACTGCACTTGGATTCCCCGAACCTCAACTCTCCATTATTTTTGTGCCCTCTTTTTATTAAAATATTTTTCTCATGTTCTAGAGCATAATATACATGTCTTCTCTTTGATTTTTATAAATTTTTATTTTATTTGGAAGTGAATAATAACATTTTTTCTCAAAACACAATTTTAAGCCTAATAACTTTCTCCAGAGGTTAAAAAATAAAATAAAACAGCAGAAACTTCTGTGGAATATTATTTTAACTATGTAAAGATGTGCTATACTTGTTTATGTTGCAGAGTTTTGCTTTAACTATGTAAAGATGTGTTACATTTGTTTATGCTGCATTTGTTTAATTATGGAAAGATGTGTTGCTGTGGGATGTTTTTTCTGTACACTGTGAATATGTATTGCTCTCACTGTTTGACAAATAAAGCTGTTTGGGCAATGGCGAGGCAGAATAAGGTCAGGCAGTACATTCAAACTGAAGATGGAGATGAAGGGTGGAGTCAGAGCAGACATTGCAAGATGGCCAAAGAGTAAGATGTGATAGAACCAGTAAGCTACGGGCCATGTGGTGATACACAGATGAATAGAAATGGGTGAATTTCAATACAAGAGCTAGCTAGTGAGTGTAGTGGGAATTTGCTCTGCCCATGACCCTGGACTAATCTGGCCTGAAAGATGTAGTGCTTCTTATCTTCCTATGTGACCACTTAAAAGGGAGGAGAAAGGGGGTCGCATTCTCTTGGGTGGCAAAGACAGGATCAGGCAGCGTGAAGCAGTGTGTGATCGGTCCCCAGCTTTCCAAGGATTCTGCAACTGGATTTACCTTATCCTGTATCAGTGAGTCTATTTTCCTCATAGAACTCCTTAATAAATTGATATATACAGAGAGACTATTGAGGTTCTCATTACAGTGCGTTGCTTTTATTTATGCTGTATTTGTTTAATGATGTAAAAATGTGTTGCTGTTTCACCTTGCCTGCCTAAGGCACCTGATTGGTCTAATAAAAAGCTGACCAGCCAATTGCTAGGCAGTAGAGGGATAGGCAGAGCTGGTGGTCAGAGAGAATAAATAGGAGGAGGAAGAAAAGAAGGAGAGAGAAAAAGAGGGAGACACCCATGGCCAGTCAGCCAGGCAGCCGCCAGCAAGCTAGACATGGAGCAGGACACACAGAATGAAAGAAAGGTAAAAAGCCCCAAGGCAAAACGTAATAAATACAAACAAGTTAAATTAAAAGAGCTAGTGGGACAAGTATAAGATAAGACCAAACATTCTAATAACCAAACATAACTAATATTAAGTCTCCGTATCATGATTTGGGAGCTGGTTAGTAGCCCAAAAGAAAGCCTACAACCACAAGAAAAGAATTTCAAAAATTCTATACTCCATAAACATATTATATTGTTCAATTAACTTTTTTAGATACTGAGAATTTCCTAAAATTGAGAAAAATATACAATTTGTGTATGAATTAAAATATCATCCAGAGTACCAAGCAAGTTAACTTAAGTCACAGAGATCAAGCAAACAGCTACAATACAAGCAAGAGCTGCCAGATAAGGATACCAACTATTAAACGCGGGTGGCCATATTGTAGACAGTAAGACTTGTGAAGAGCCACACAGTCCAGAAGGACTGGAGTGACAGCTTCAAGAACTGATGAGAAATGTCTGCCTGCCTCAACATTTATATTAATTAAACTACTTAAGAACAGGAACATGTGTTTGGGGCATGAAAGAATGTGTGGTGATGGTGTGGTGTGAAAGAAGGAACATTTCCAGACATAAAAGACGAGCTGGGTGTGACAGCATACATCTATAATCCCAGGGCTTGGCAGAGGAAGAGGCAGAGGCAAAGGCCTGAAGATGTCAGTGAGGCTGGGGCCAGCCTGGCTTACATAGCAAGTTACAGATCAGTCAAAGCTTCACAGTAAAAACCTAGATGTATGCCACAAGAAAAGACAGAAAGAGGGAGAGAGGGAGGAGGAGGGAAGGGGCGGAGGCAGGGAAGAAAATTTAGATATAAAATATAGAAATGGCCAGCAGCCAGGCGGTGGTGGCGCACGCCTTTAATCCCAGCACTCGGGAGGCAGAGCCAGGAGGATCTCTGTGAGTTCGAGGCCAGCCT